ATTTTATTAATAATTTTAAATAAATAAGTAAATATTAATTTTGTTAATGTATTTAAATTTCTGTGAAAATTCCTTATTTTTATTGTGAATTACAAAGAATAAGTAACTAGATAATGTAACTAATACACAATTAATGTATGAAAGAGAATTTGTACTTTATTTTTATTACTTGTTGTAATTGTTACCCCAGTGTTACCTTGTGTGTATATTTGTAGTGTGTATGCCTTTATATATATATGTTGATAGAAGGACGGAAAGTTAAACACTTAAACATATATAATATATAAATAAGCCGTTCATTTACGTTCACGCATAGATGTATTGGTTATGTCTAGCATATATTCATGAATTATAAACTATTTCCTGTTCAATGTATAAGAATAAAAATACTCAAATAAGAGATTTTTTATGCCTATCGTAAGATATATTATATTTCTTTTATTCAGAAGGAGTTAATGTCAGGTTTTGAACGACTTAGTTGACTATGGAACAATCGATTAACCAACTATCTTGCTTATCACTTCATGTTTATAAATGCATGTTTTGCTTATAGAAATTTGCAAGAAAAATTATAGATCAGAAATGGTTTTAGGGATGCTGAGCTCTGTAAGCCGAATAAATTAGGCTTGAACACTTCCCGATCTTTCCGTGGAGAAAGAAATGCAATAAAGTTGGACTTTGAAATTTTTCATAAGTCATATTAGCTTATCATGGTGGTTCAAGATTTAGTTGTTCACTGTTCATAGATTTCTATCACTCCTTTATGTACATTTATATTGATAGTATAGTTGATCTAATCCTTGATCTCTAAACTACTCAACCTAAGATAATAGTTTTTGTTGATATTGCCGGGGTCCTTTTCAAATTTCGTGACATACATAACTAATCTATTTAGATCTCATAAAGTCATTACTATTCAGGATGAAACAGTCAACTACGAATGAAGGATAGCCAAAACGCTGCTTATCAAACGAACTTCTAAAACTCCAAGAAAGCAGTTAAGATAAACAAATTACCCTCTGATTGTTTGTCTGCCTAAATGCTGATAAACAATTAAATGCCAGCATTTATTAGTACATCAAGAACATTTTGACCACTTCAAGCTATCAACAATGAATATTTCTTAGAAATGTAAAAAACTCCACAGTCTAATTTGTACTTTTGATCTTCAAGTTTATATCAGCGTTAAATAAATACAGCTTCTTATATTACCGGTAGTATAATGGGAAATAGAACGTGTAGCTCCCAAGAAAACCGGTACGCAATTAAATTACTATAAAATCTAGAATGGGTCTTAACTTTGTGCAAAATTGGCTAACTATATAAAAACTATTAAAATAAAATTTTTTTATCCTCTTTGGAGTAAATTTAACTGCAAGTTTTCAATCATTTGGTCTACTGAGTCAAAATACACATAGTAAGTTCCCTCAAGCTTTCTAACTGCTTTCAAGAACACACCTGCTAAAACCTAGTAACCATCCAGTTGTGCGTACTTGTAAGAGAATTCTGTATCAATTTTGATTTCTTATAACAAAAGATGACAGGTCGTTAAAAGCTGCTGATGTACACAAATAACCGTCCTAATTATTCACTCAGGTTCCGAAGTCGAAATTCCGAAAGCAACTTCTTGACACAAAAAGATGAAGAAAAGTTGTTGATTAATAAAATGAATTGTTCCATGTGAGCCGAATTCCTATGAAAGAGCCAGATGATGGATATGGTAATAACTTATTTTTTAATGCTAAAATACTTTTTAGATACTCGGTAGTATCGTAGCAAACTAAGAGATAAGCACTTCAAAATATCACAATTAACTGAAGATGGAAGACACAAACAGTAATTTGCATAATTTTTGTTGTTACAATAAAAATTTCAGCCATCAGGTAAAATTGCAAAACTAATCAAGTTTTTTAGTAATGCTGAATCTGACCCTGATTTTCTGGCCGTTCTACAAGGACACGAATATAAAGAAGGCCTCAGAAATGCAGGTCAGGTATCATATTCGTTTATGTCCGTGCTGCATCTAAAGAAAGGTCTGATTATATAACTTCATATTCTATGCTAACTACGACACAGATAAGCAAATGAAAATTTTAAAACGCAGGTGTAAATACTTTATTAGCATTTCTATTTGAAGGTCGTTCGACTTTTTGTAGACTATCTTATGTCGAATACTTTTGAAGCAACCAACATTAAGCTTAAAGTAGACGCTTTACATTACTTGTGATGGTTTTTCACTTTCAGCACAATAGTAACCGTCAAAATTCTATGCTGTTTGTAGAATACGATAAATCAGAAGTCATGACAAAAAATCTTGTCTTCATTCATCTTATGTTTTCTATAAATTGCGCTGTTGTGTAACTAAATTTTATAGTACCACTGAGCATATTCATTTCCATATAAAACTGCATCGCTGTGCTAAGTTTTACATTACGTACGACTGACTGGATGGAACAAAATTCCACAACCACACAAAATACTAAACAACATTGCAACGCTCAGGGCATTTGAGTATTTTGGTTGTGACGGGAGTAGACATTTACGGTAAATTTCAAAACAAATAAATATTTCTGAAAGTCAACCTTGTCTGTAGACTGAAAAGATTGAAACGCATCTCAGTCGTTAGTAGCAAATTCAATTTGTTTCAATGTATTTTTGTACAAATTGCGTTTAACTCATCTACCAAAAAATCAATTTACCACTTTTACCAAGAAATCTACTATATGGCTCTAAACTATACGGGAGGTCATAATTTGAATTCATATACTTGCTTACATAAACGTGATACGTCCACTGTGTTAAGATGTTAAAGTTTTAGTTTTTGGCACCCAAATTTTTCAGGAGTAAGGGGAAATTGGGAGGAAGACAAAGATAAGTACATCGAAATGCGCAAGTTTGCCACTAATTTGTTGGATATCTATCTGAGGTCTTTTATAAACGTCTTAGATTTTTGGGTAGTACAAAATAAAGCCTTTATCCTTAAACAATATAATAATATTGTTTTAATCCTATCGAGCATGGAAGAGTAAATTTTAAAAAAGTGCTTACAAATAATTTTTACTATTTTTCTACTTTGTGAATCAGTTTTTCAATTGGTATCATTCTTTACTGTCCTCAACTTAAGAGGTGACCTATTTTAAAATATTAATATAAAACTTAAAAAGTTAAATTGTTATGACTGTCTACAAATCTAAACACGGACAGATATTTGGAATGCTTTTTAGCTCAGAAATTATGCTCATATAGCAAACTATTATAATGCAGCCATTACTGATAGGCTGAGTGAAAATCTAAATTTAAGTTAAATTGAGATTGATAAATCAAGGCTTTACGGGTCAATATATAGGTGTCTAACAAGAAATATTCCAAAACTGCTTACGTGAGGATTAAACGAACGTTTCAACACAAATTAGTCGATTTACCAACAAATGTGTTTTACATTTTGATGCGATCGTTGAATGGCTAAGGCGTTTGACTTTCAGCCACTAAATCACTGGTTCAAACCATATGCCATTTCAGTTTAGGCAACCGAGTAGTACAATCAATTATCACGCCTACAAGCAGACTCATACCTGGTGAAAGATTTTATTTAAATCAAAGCCTTAATTTTGATGCAAAGTTAGAAAAAAACTAAGTGTTATTGAACTTTTGTCCGTAAAACACTAAACATTTTTTCGGTATTATGAACTTTGACCAAATGGATTAATCCACGAATGAAATGCTTGAGATAGTATAACTAAAAATATAACCGGTAATCAATAATCTTTTGTTGATAAAATCATTTTTGACACCAGTTCATATATTAGGTGACAAACAAACATCAACGTTACACAAAATATTCTTCCAAATTATTTAAAACCCAAATTTTTGCATATAAAAACTAAAAGGTATTCAGTTTGAAAAAGCCATCAACTGGCTGACCCTTGGTAATTTAAATTAAATTGGGCATTGCGTCAACTATTTTTAAAATTGAAATGGTATATCTTCATATCTAGATGAGTAAAACATTGGAATTCCAGAGTTTTTAAACTTGGTCCAAGTCAGTTGTTTAGATGATAGCAAATAACCTAACTAATGTAACACACACATAGATGTGAAAGACATAAAGTTTCACTTCTTAAGCTTAATAGCATATGTTTAATTTACCTTACACTTAATTGCATCTTAGTCACTGCCATTTTTCTAAAGGGTAATGATAATTTTATAACCTTCCTAGGAAACTAAACACTAATGATTGTACGTTGTAGAGCAAGCAGGAATAAAAACCCAAAATTTACAATAAACTACTAACTTATCTGACTATTGATCGCGATTCGTTTCTGTTTCTTATTAACATCCCTTGCCATACAACGTTTGTTCAACTCTAGTAACAAAACGGACATGCCATTAACAAAATAATTTTGTTGAAAAATCAAAAGTGTCAACGTAGACTTTTGCTATCCAGTTGTGGCTAAACAATGCATAGCTGCAACTTGAACGTTAAATAAAAAGAATAAAATACAGCCAGGCTGCTTTTTTGATTGAGAAACTCTAGATAAACTATGAATGGAAGGTCACTGATGCTTGGATTGATTTTTTCGTATGAAACTACTTGCAAAAAGACCTTTTGTACGCTGTTTATCATTTAAGGTAATGACAACGAGTTAAATAAGCTTCATGTGGTTTGTACAAACAAGGTGTTTATGCAGAAATACATCTCATATTTCCTCAGTATTGCACCAAATAGCCACATTTGCTGTAATTCTGACACATTTTACTAGTTGTTCTAAATTTTTAAGAAGTAACTAAAATGTTTAGTGGATGTGCAAATAAGTTACCAAAAAGACAAGTTGACTGAAATCAAAGTTATCAACAAACATCCAACGACAAGAATAAATAATAAAAATTTATTATTCAGCCATAACTTTTTACCGTATGGTTGATAAATCCTGCGAAATCGGGAAAAACTTTTTGTTTGGGATCGTATATTATGAATGTTTTTACAAAACGTCTGAACTTACCCCAAAGTAGTCATTGTGACTATCGTGTACCAAAACGCTGCTGGAATGCTACTAAACTGTGATATTTCCGACTTCTCTGCATAAAATATTATCGTTGAAAAAATAATGACACCCATTGTTATCGTGAACAGAAGAAAACCTAATTCGGAGGCGCAGCAACGCAATGTACAACCTAATATCCTCAATCCTTTACTGTGTCTCGAAAATTTGAAAATACGACAAACTCGAAACACTCGCAAAGTTGTAAAAGCACCTGAAAATTCCTTGTTGTTAGACATAAAAAGTCCGACATAATACGGAAAAACTGCGGCTATATCGATAATTGACATAACAGATCTAATAAATTTGCATTTTGCAGGAGCTGCATACAGCCTTGCTAAATACTCGATTGTAAATAAAAGTACACATGCGGTATCCAAGCAAAAGAATGCGGCGTTATACTTTTCTCCACAAGGTATATTTTCTCCAGTTTCAACACTGATGCCACAGGAAACAGTCTCTGTTATATTAGCCAGTACTGAAACAGCTATAAAGAATCCCGTTACGTAATAAAGTACGACTGCTAGTGTTGAAGCTTGAGGATTTTCAAATGCACGCCATAACCTGTCTCTAAAGTTTGTTGCTAGTTGCTCTTCTTCCGATGCATCCTCTTTATCTTCCTGCTGCCTTTCCTTATTTTCCCTGTATTTGTCAAGATATTCTTCATAACAGCAATCTCCCATGATTTCTGGCATGATACCGAAATACAACAATTCTTCATGATAAGCGGTCACACAATAATCCTTTGGCAAATGAAGCCTCTCTGATCGATAGTATTCCATTATGTAACGGAAAAGCTCCGGATCTCTGTCGAAAAAATATTCTTTTGAAACCGGATCTTGAAAATAATCTTTCTCATCAGAACCAAGCAGTGTGTCGGGAAACTTCTCGAGCGTGGATTTTCGAGTCTCAAATCTCCGTCCACTTACATTAATCACTATCTTCTGATCCTTTATATACTTTTTGTTGGTGATCAAAGGCTCATCAGGTAATTTACTTTGAAGAAGTGGTGTCCAACCGATAGCGGAAGCTCTTACAACCGGTAGCCAAGATGGAATCATTTGAAGGACTGTGAAAAACAATTTTCAATGCATTTTATTTTATTTATGTTGGTGTACATTGTGGCAAGCATCATAATGTAAAAGCTCGTATTGTCTCATACCTTTTTCATAAGGTGCACGAACTAAACCGACCTTGAAGGTCAATATCCGAAACTCAATATTGTGCTATTATCCAGAGCATCGTTAAAAATTACTTATTGACATTCGAAATTGTATACAATAAATTAGCACGATGGATATAGCTATACATGGAGTCATGTTGGAACAGCATTCAACCGTGATTCAAAAGTCATAAATAATATTCATACACCTTCAATAAATATAGATTTTTTGAATACATCTGATTAGCAGTAGGAGAGGATTTTGTCTGAAGGATATTTGACTGTCTACCTACATAATAAGTGAACCTATTGAGAAACGAATTTCAACATTTTTTGCCCACAAACAGGGATGGTAGGAGCATTATCCTCGTTGTTATTGTGATAATTTTAGGCTAACATATTTAACACCATAAAATTAAATGACGATAACCAACTATTCTTCTTTCTTATGAATGAAAAACTTACGAATTCTCATGTTTACGCTTATGGTAGACTGAACTTTCTTCTCAAACCAATCATATTGCACCATACGTTTGGTTCCTGCACCACTTGACAGTCTAGTATTGAATGGAAGAGAAACCAAAGTATTGACGAACTACCTTAAAGACACCTATATCAGGAGACCTACATATTTTATAAGCCAGAGAGATCTAGTATTCCAAACGGCAATGAGTAACATCAATAATTCCGTTGTGAAAGGGTTTTCCCATAATAAACTACGCGGTACAGAAGTGATATGGAGACCGTAGCTGATTTAACTATCTTCTACCCAAGTGTGCTAAATTTATTGTCGTTCTCACAACCAAACAGCCTATAACAGCTGAAAACCAAATTAACCGTCGTAATGATTTCACAAGAGCAAGAAATGAGGAAGTACAAGTAGATTACAGAACTCATTAAACCGGTAGCAGAAGATCATGGAATCAGACTGTTCGTGAAATATCTGGACAAAGTAGTAAATATTTTAGATTTTCTCCTCCAAATGCTACTAAGCAGCTTAGTGTTGCAAGAAATCCAAGCTTCAGATTAGCATTGTAATCTTCTCGTAAACCACTGAGTATACACTTAAACTATGAACTAGTTTCTCCAAAAACATCCGGGAAGCTCATCAGTAAAGGCTAAACTGATGAACAGCCAACAGTCTTAACAAGATTTTCTTATGATGACTGTTGATATACGTAATTAACACGCTGAATCCGTTTACCACTTCTGTACTGAAGATTATAATTATAAGCCCGATAACGGCGCACCACACTGAAGACTATACTAGTCCAGCTATTCTTTCCACATATAAATCATTCAGCGCCTCATGCATTGCTTTTCGAAAACTACAAGGAAATATCCATCTTTTAGAAAAGAACGAATCACCTAATACTTGAAGTCTTTAGGCTGGATTCTGACCTTGAAAACTATACTTAGCAAACGGAGCCGTCAAACTTTTAAATAATACGTCAGTCTTCTTTTAGGGCTACTAAAGACAACTGTACTTTAATACATCCCGAATTTTTGGAACATTGAATTGATGTTTTTGTTTTACCTATAAATAACTCAGTTAACGTGTGAAGAACTCCCGTTTCCAAATAGTAATTGACAACAGCCTCGTACGGACAAATTATATTCATCGGTACTCAACACTTAAACTTCTGTAGATCGTTCTACAACATAAGAATTTAGAGATCTCAGGCTCTAAAATAAAACAAAGTACCCAGCATTATCTATTATAACGGCAAGATGACAGAACAGACCAAAGTTCGTGCGTAATCGCTTTTGAATGAGGAAAACGGATTTCCGAATTGTGGACAAACATAGAATTGTCATTTTATTAAGACATGAAGAATAAGGTTTAGTTTCACGAATGGTGAATCTAACAGTGGTCCAACACGCCGAATCAACAAGTTTGATTTTTCGGCAACTAAAGCACTTCACATAACGAAATGGACATGATACCCGAAATAAACATTTACTAAGCTCATGTTCACCTACAAACTCTGCTTTGAAGGTTTTTATTGAATCTTTTTATATTTCCACAAGATAATAGATCATCACTAATCGAGGGAGAATTCGGTGGACCTTAAGACAGCTATTCATCATGACAAATAGGCTGAAGTTAGAAATTTCCACTGACTAGAAATCAAGCTCATTAACTTTCTCATAGTCGATGCCTTGTACCTTATTTTCATAAATTAATGTTTAATGTTTCAAATGGTTGTGGACGGAATAGAAGAAGCTTTCGCTTAACAGGCTTCCGTGTCTAGTATCAGGGGATCACCAATACCTCCAGGCAAGAACCTAGGTATATTAACGATAAAAGAGAAAGAAAATGAATTGGTAAATCATAGTAGGATACTATCCTTAGTCCTTAAGAATAGATCAAGCCGCCTCTTAAAGGACTCATGAGAAGTTGCTTGGACTAGATCAGCTGGCAGCGAATTCCAGCATTTGACAACTCTTAAGGAGTAGAAGTTGTGTCTACAGTCCGTTCTACTATGTTGTATCTCCAGTTTCTGGGTGTTACCCCTTAGGTTAGTGTTGGGACTAAGCTTAAGTAGGTGTTTAAGAGGATGTCCAGAAGTGTTAAGGATACTGTAAGCCATTAGAATGTCACATGTAAGACGCCTATACTCTAATGGGTAAAGATCAAGTGATTGGAGGCGCTCGTCTTATGGTTTAAATTTGAGTCCTCGAACTGATTTCGTGGCTCGCCGTTGGATACGCTCCAGAGTGTCCTTATCCTTTTGGAGTGTAGGAGGGAATACTGTTTCCGTACTCTAAATGGGGACGAATGAAACTATTGAAGATTATGTGGAAAGTTCTTCCGTCAAACTGACCAAAAATGCGCTTCAATGTTATCAGTGCAAGGTTTGCTCGAAAGGCATTTCTGTCACAGTTGGCGTAAGACTTTAAGTCGTAGGGCACCAGAACTCCTAAATCTTTTTCGACTCGGCATACTACTAGAGAGGAGTTTCCTAAGTTGTAACTGTAATCTGCGACGTGTCACAAATGGACTACTTTACACTTTGAGGTGTTAAAGGTAAGTCCGTTATCATCTGCCCAACTTTGAAGTCGAGTCAGATCCTCCTGAAGTGCCTGTCTGTCCTCTTGGTTGCATATCTCTCTCCAAAGTTTCACGTCATCGGCAAAGAGCAGTATGTCTGACGTTACCTGTTGAGGAAGATCATTTATATAGATCAGGAAGAAGAGAGGTCCTAGTACTGAGCCCAAGGGAACCCCACAAGGACATTCCATAGCGCACGAGAAATTGAAGTTAACCCTGACCTTAAAATGTCGATTCGTGGGATATGAACTGAGCCAGTCAATTAAAGGTGTTTTGATACCCAATTGTTTGAGCTTGTTATTAAGACATATGTGGTTAACCCTATCAAAAGCTTTAGAGAAATCAAGGTAAATGATGTCTACCTTCCCCTTGCGATCAAGGATGCTTGTCCATCTGTCCACCGCGGTCAGCAGGTTCGTCATACAGGAGTAACCCTTCCTGAAACTATTCTGTTGGGGTGAGAAGAAATTTAAGGACAGCAGATAATCATGTATACCATCGTATACCAGGGACTCCATAATCTTTGAAGGTATAGAGAGAAGAGCCACCGGTCGGTAACTTGAAGGTTCGCTGCGTCGACCTCCTTTGAAGATTGGTGTGATATGAGCCAGCTTCCGAATTTCCGGTTGTTTCTCTCGTCTTAGCGGCTGTGAGAACATCACGCTAAACGGTGTTGCCAGGATTGAAGCTGCTTCCCTCAGTATAGCAGATTGGACCATATCTGAACCAGTAGAAGTGTCTGTTCTTAGGTGTTGTATTTTACGGAATACCAAATCAGCTCTCACTTTCACTACGGAAAGTTCTGTGCAGTTGCGGATAGAGCCGTCATCAGTATAGTTGATGTGGGACGGTTGAAATGTCCGGGAGTATTGCTCAGCCAGAAGGTTAGCGGCGTCACCGTCATTATTGGTCGTGCCGTTAGGACCTAGCAGTTGAGATACTTCAGTTTTGGCTTGACGAAGAGAGGCTGCGTAACGGAATAAGCTTTTCGGATTGGAAATAAATTTATCCATAAGCTTTAACTGGTACTGAAGCCTGTTTTCTCTTATAGCCTTCGTACATATGTTCCTTATATGTTTGTATTGCCTGTACTCGCCGTTGTTGTTGGTTCGTTTGTATTCTGCCCAACAGTGCCTTTTACGGCTTAGCAAACAAAGAGTGCGTTTTTTGATGATTGTAGGTTGCTTCTGGCTTTTGGGGACCGTTTGAAGGACTGACTGCTTTGTAGCACATAAGAGCGTGTGCAGTAAGAAGTTCCAATGAGCATCCACATCAAGTTGAGGGTGAACATCCCAATCCACCTGTTGTAGATAGTCCTGTGGAGCTGACGCATTCAACCGCTTGAAGTTCCAGCGCCTGTTGTTGTTGGAATATCATAGCTCAGTTTTCCTGACGAAACTGAAGGCTATAACGGCGTGATCGCTTTTCCCCAGGGGAGCCAGAATTGAGAGGTTGTCGACTAGAAATTCTTCGTTTGTAAAAACACAGTTTAAGCGCGACGGTGTCTGACCGTTCCTCCAACGAGTAGCAAACTTCACATTTTCGTGTAGTCCCAAATCCTCAATGAGGTTTAAGAACCGAGCTTCGATTGAATTTTCACCTCCAGTATACGTATGTTCCGCGAAGTTGACTCTAGGGAGATTGAAGTCCCCTAGAATTAGGATATGAGTGAAGCCGAGATGCGTAGAGCGGGATAGTCCTTCCAACATGCGACTGTCATACTCGATGTCGGCAGTGGGCTTCCTATATATGACTTCGACTAGGCACCTCGAAGTAGTGGACAATCTCATAGAGCACCATATGGATTCCTCAAGATTGTCAAACTCATGGTTGTGAACTTGGTGTACCTCCAGGCCAGACCGTATGTATAGGGTTACTCCACCCCCAATTCCTGTTTTTCTGTCATTGCGAAACATAGACATCCCAGGTATTGCTAGCTCCTGGTCCGAATACTGAGGAGATATCCAAGTTTCAGAT